AGGTTATTTAAAATTTTGCAAAAATTTTTGCATATTTGAAATGGCATGGTCAAGGGCTTTTCAAAAATGTATAATTTGTCATTTTTTGGACAAATTTTTTTTGCAAACATTTTTACTATAAAACTGGATTTTGCGATAAAAAATTCAATTTTCGCAAATTTGCAATTTTTTTTGCAGATTCTAAAAGTAGAGCACAAGAGCTTTCTAATGATGTATCATTTGTCATATTTGGACATAAAGCATGGGATTTAGAGGGGGGGGGTCAAATTGACCCCCCCCCCAGCGTATCCTGGTTTTCAAGTACCCCAGCAGGGATAGGGTTAACATTGAAATTAAGTAGTAATCTATGTTTGTTTGTCTGTTTGGATGTGTGATCATAACTTATGAAACCCTTTACTGATTCCCTTCACATCTTGATTGGGAACTCGGTAATGTTCTTAGACTGGTTTAAAAATTCAAAATTGATTGGGTCTTAGTTGTATAGTAAACATTTAGTCTCCTGACAAAGCTGGGTTGTCAAAGACAGTAACATACCAAATTAGAAGTAAAATCAACAATTTCGTAATAATATCAAAATTCAAAAAATTCTTATTGTTTTGCATAACACAAACTAATTGCAGCAGTGTGAAAAAAGTATAAATGTTATATATTTCATCCACTTAAAGGGATTGTAAAGGAAAAATGAAAGATGGTTTAGAATGAAACCTGAGAATTTCAGGCGTTGATCGATACATATAAGACATCTATCTGATGTTATTGTCTCGAGAAATTGATTTAAAACTGTGTCTTTATACGAAAATTTATATATATGCAATTTTGAATAAAAGTTTTAGTATTAAACAAATCATATTCCACAAATACGAGAGCAATCTGAAAACGACGATATCCCACAGAAACCTGAGAATCTCAGGTTTGCTCCTAGTATAATTATTTTATTTTTATTTTGCATTTTAATAGTTTTTATCCTATACCCCCTTTCATTTTTCAATTTTTCCTTTACAGTCCCTTTAAACTTATTCTGGCAGCTGGAATATTCTAAAGTCTAGGCTTCAGAAGTTTACAGGCCGGGTTTGATTTATAAAATTAGGTCTGATAAAAACTTATAAAAGTTAGAAACTTGGGTTAAGGATAACATTGATTAAAGTCTATTCAATTTATAAATCTATATAGAAAAACTACTATAAGAACTGATAAAAATAATGTAAATAGATATGAAAAGCAAATATTTGGACACCTTAACTAAAACGATAACAATCTTATGATTAAATTAAAGTATATTCAATTTATGAATATAGAAAAACTACTAGAACTGATAAAAATCATGCAAATAGATATGAAAAACAAATATTTGGACACCCAAACAACACCGATAATATTCATATGATTTAATTTATTCAGTTATTCCTTTATATTCGAAATTTTTATTTTATTTCAAAGGACTGTGTAAGTCTAAATTCATGTTTTCCTACTTCAGTATAAATATGCAAGTATACAGAAGTACGGAAATTGACATCGTTGCATGAAGGGTGTAACTCTTATAAAGAAAACATTGTTTCAAGGCTAAGCTAAGTTCCTAAGCTGGGTTCCCAAGCTAGTTTGAAATAAAATTATGTTTACAGTCCTTTAAAGGCTTTATTTCTGGACAGGTGACCTCTGTTTTACCTTTGTGATATTGACTATTGACAAATGACGTAGATTGTGACAGCTTATCAAATACAGATTTCAAGATTTGACGGACCGATACCATTTCAGACAGAATAGGAATATATTTTAGAAAATCTTTATTTTTAGAAATACTTTGAAAGAAAGAAATACTTGGTAAAATTTTTGTTTTCCAACTTGGGAAAGGCTGAAAACAGCAATACTAATGATAAGAATAATATTGACAAGAATGGAAATAATACAAATTCAAAATGTGCAAATCAACTGTAAAACTTTTGCATTCTGTAATTAGGATTTTAGAACAACAAAAAATCGTTTCAATTTTACAGCTAAAAGATATTTAATTTTGGAAAGAGAACTGTAGACATTAAAGCAATGTGCCTGAGTTTTAAGCAACATCAAATAATTGATCAAGTATTGGTTTCCCCCCTCCCCCGATCTTTTTTCCAGCAATTTTTCCATTGCATTTTTAAGTTTATATTTTTGTAAAGCAGTGTTTGTATAAAGCCAGGAAAAGCTGTTGCAACAATTTTATTAGTTTTCAAAACAGTTTTTAGAAAGGGAAAGGGGAAATTTATTTCTGCAGATAACGCAGACAACCCCAGACCGTTTCCAGGCAATGTTATTGCGGAAATACACGTAGCAAATTCGTCCTAATTTTTGGAATAATATTTATCAAAACTAAACAAAATACAGGGTGTCCCATAACTTTGAAGAAAAGAAAAAATGCACACAAAAATAAAGTATGTGTATTTTTTATTTTTAATGAATAATATGTCAAAGTTTAGAATTTTCAAAAATATTAAATTAAATTGTGATGTTTCTCTACAAAAGAGACTTGGGCGGTATTTCTACTGCAGGACATATGTCTGGGGCTAGCTCACACAATAATAATATAAATAAAAAACATTTATAAACTTATCTTCCTGGACAATCAGACATGTCACATACATATTAAGATATCAGCATTAATAATGGGTTTCGTTAATGAAATATACGGCTATTACAATAAATTTGTCCAACTTTTCATTAAAAAAACATCTAAGTAAAAACACTAGCTATCTAAATATTTATCAATAGAATACACACAACTTGACGATAGAAAGACAACCTTAATGTATATTGCAGAAAAATAACGGGAAATACATAATATGAGGGAAATATGTTATAAAATAAAAGAAATATTGTAGATAAAATGAGGTAATAGTGTAAAGAAAAATGGTTGAATAAATGAGGGAAATATTATGGATGAAATAAAAGGAATACTGAAGATAAAATGAGGTAATATTGTATAGAAAAATAAGGGGAAATAGTACATAATACGAGGGAAATATTTTTGATGAAATGAAAGGAATATTGTAGATATTAGATTATTTTTCCAACATAATCTAAAGTTTAAAATATATAAGGTCTATTACATTCGGGTTTCAAAGATAGGAATTAGAAAATCAGGGCTTGTGGCAAAGATTCAATTCCTTTAATTTTGTTAAAAGTCTCAAAATTTTAGAGTTTGAGAACATCTTTAAGCGGTAAGATATACCTAGTTGGGTCTTTAAACTAAGATGGGGGTATTATGTGTATTTTGAAGAAAAGTGAACAGTTNTATCCCTATATCCTTTTCAATACTGTTGCAGGGGTAATATCTTAACCTGAAGAGAAAATAATTTGACTGCCTAATCTTCTCTGTCTGCTGTCCACAGAGTGTCTACTGTCTATAGAGTGTCTAGTATCCACAGAGTGTCTACTGTCTACAGAGTGTTTACTGTCTACGAGTGTCTACTGTCTATAGAGTGTCTACTATCCACAGAGTTTTTGCTGTACACAGAGTGTCTACTTCTATAGAGTGTCTACTATCCACAGAGTGTATACTGTCTATAGAGTGTCTACTATCCACACAGTGTCTACTCCAGTAGGATACAAATGTAAACAATTAAAACAAATTAATGTGAATAAACAGAGTTTTTGTCACAATCTCAAATTTTGTGCATTTGGTATGTTGCCCACCTATGCAACCTACACATAGTTGGCTTTCTCATGCTTAGGCAAAAGATCAAATTTATTATTCCTTGATTTGAGAACATTAACATATTAATATATTACAGGAAAACATGTAAAAAATGCATTTTGTTGTGCAGTGTAAACCCTAATCTTAACATTTGCTACGTTGTAGGTACTAGGTAGGATAAAACATTTTATTAAAAAAAGTTTTTATTTCCAATTTTCCTTGTTTGATGGTTAACCGTTGTTTGTTTAGTATTAAGTGTAAAATGTACAGTGTACACTGCAACAACTCCAAGTATAGAAAGTATAAAGTGTACTCTGTATAATGTACAGTGTACACTGCAACACCTCCAAGTATAGAAAGTATAAAGTGTACTCTGTATAATGTACATTGTACACTGCAACACCTCCAAGTATAGACAGTATGAAGTGTACTCTGTATAATGTACAGTGTACACTGCAACACATCCAAGTATAGAAAGTATGAAGCGTACTCTGTATAATGTACAGTGTACACTGCAACACCTCCAAGTATAGAAAGTTCCTTGAAATACTTGAAACCATGAGTTCTTGTCACAAACAAAACTCTGAATATAATCCCCATTACTTTGCAACCCGATGTCGTTGATATTGAGTGTACAGCATAAGGTGAAAAGATTTAGAGATTAGGAAATTTGAGTTTGTGGTAAGAACTCAGTTCTCTTCTCATATCAGAGCTAAATTCCATTTGCGACAATTTTATTTTTCCTAAAACTTCGGAATTAAGACAGTAAACTGCATTATTTCACACATTTTATTGAAATTTGATTAATTTTATTGAAAATTTGATTAATTTTATTGAAAATTTGATTAATTTCATTTAAATCCAATTGTATCCAGGTATACCTTAAACCAGTAACTAAATATCCAATTGTATCCAGGTATACCTTAAGCCAGTAAATAAGTATCCAAGTGTATCCAGGTATACCTTAAACCAGTAAATAAGTATCCAAGTGTATCCAGGTATGCCTTAAACCAGTAAATAAGTATCCAAGTGTATCCAGGTATGCCTTAACCCAGTAAATAAGTATCCAAGTGTATCCAGGTATACCTTAAACCAGTAAATAAGTATCCAAGTGTATCCAGGTATACCTTAAACCAGTAAATAAGTATCCAAGTGTATCCAGGTATACCTTAAACCAGTAAATAAGTATCCAAGTGTATCCAGGTATACCTTAAACCAGTAAATAAGTATCCAAGTGTATGACGGATAGTGAGAACCCGTCTACCAAATTATACTCCGGCCTCATGGCATAATATCGAAGTTTAGAAACCAGTTGTACTCCAACCTCCGTTAACCAAGGATGTTCCCCGGAGGTTAACTAATCTATCCTAGATATAAATAAACCTCCAGGATTTGTCAACTGCTAGTTAAAAACTAGTTTAGTGATATTAGATCAGAGTGAACAGAAAAGTTTAGTGAAAAAATGTTTTATAAAATAGAAATACTATTAATAGAGTAAACATATTTACATTCACAAGGTGACAATAACATACAAGCAATCAGAACCTGTTAATATTGGTTTACCCCCTCCCCCCCCCCCCCCCCCC